CTTCGTGGCAAGGAAGGCTTATCTGAGGATTTGGCAGATTTGGAATCCCAGTCTTTGTGCATGGAAGGGGAGCTGATTTTGGAGGGCCTCAATGCTGAAATCAAAGGAGTGGAGAAATGAAAGATGCTTTTTGATGGTCAGCGAGGGAGTTGACATTTGAGGCTTCTTTCTTTAGGGAAGATGGGTGCTTTTGCCACAAATTACATCCTTGATGAAAACAGCTGGGGCTGGCCCTAGGAGAATCTGTCTGTAAAAGGCCATGTGGATCAAACATTTCCTATAAGACAACTCTACAATCTAATACTTTAGCAAAGAACTCTATGTATATGCAATAAATAAGTTAGGAGACTTCCAGCAAGCCATCACAACTGAAATTTAACGTCACAGTTATCTGCTCCCTGTTTTCACAGCAAAGGATCAACAGCAGAGATGGCTGCTTGCCTAATAAAGGGACTTTGACCAATCAGACATAATTTGACAAGGCAAAATCAGAGCTAGAACTGAGTGCAGGTCAAAACCCACCAGCAACAATAGAGTTCTGGAAAGGGTCCCCAAACAGTTATCAGCTGGGTCCTTAAAGGCAGGTGTAATTTCCATTGATATATTAGTCACCTTTCTAGGTGAGACACGGCTAAATCCACAGAGGAAATGGACCACTTCTGAACAAAATCTGCACCAAATTGATAAAAAGCCAGCAAGAGCCTAGGAAGAGCTGACAATCTGTAAGGGTCCTTCTTTGTACATAAAAAACCGGAAAAGCGAGCAAAAAGAAAATGTGTTTACAGCCTTAGGGGGCCTATATGACTCTAGACTGGAAACAGCACTGGTAGAAGCAACAGGTTGATATTTTAGCTTCAGGGTGGTATGCACCATTTTCATTAGAGCCTTTAACATTCAAGTAATAACAGCAGACTGTGACTCCTTAGTGATAAGCTTACAAGATAATGATTTGAGCAACTCAGAATTAAACCAATGCTGGCCATAGATGGTTCAAATCTCAGCCGGTTCAGAAAAGACCAGTCGAGATTCAAACCATGTATGGGCAGGCTGAATGTACCCAAGTTGGTTGATTGATTAACTTGGGTATAGCCAGCCTGTCTCATTTTATATGAGGCTATTGATAGCTTTTATAGCCGCTAGCAGTAATCACTGTGTTCTGCCGACAGCTCCCCCATCCCTCCGCCTGGGAGAACACAATGGCCCCGCACTGGTTGCAGGAAAGAAAATCACTCCATCTTTGGCTGGATTTAGTCTTTGAGGCTAATGACCCAGAAGCCAATAAGGGTGCAGAAAAGTTAAATACAAAATCTGCTGGAAGGCATGGGAGCTCACCTGTGGCCTCTGCAATCAGAGCCAAAAATAAATGGGTACTTGGGGTAGTCCTGCATGGCTATAACAAAAATGTCAGCTGATAGGGCAGGGGACCCAGCCACATCCAACAGAGATGAGAAACTCTAACAGCAGAGGGCAGTTATGCAGAATGATTCCAGGTTGTAGGTGTTGGTACCATCAGTAGGCACGCTGCCAACCTAGTACCAGAATGTGAGCTGAGAGCACAAGATACAGTGGGACAGTCCTCCTGTCCTGTGTCTAGAATCAGAAAATGTTGCAGCCACAACATGGTTGGACAATGTATAGGCTTAGGATTAAAGGCAAGGCCTCAAGTTCTCCCAAAATTTAGACAGCTGGTAGCAGGTAAGGGTTTTCTACCAAAAGTGCAGAAGACTGGAGTTGACCAAAACCACTGCAGGTGGGGTGCAGTAACGGATTGAAGATTGCCATTCTATGTGGCTCTTTGCAACAGCAACAGCAGTATACAGATGACATCAATGTTCTGTCTCACATTGTTAACCCTTTCTCGTAGGAAACAGAGAATAATAGCTCTGAGCAAACGGCTGGCCTAATCACAGAGTCTTCAAAGACAAGGCATGTGCAGAGGCAATGCCAGCGTGACTAAACCTGAAAGACACTATGCAGCTAACCTAACCGGAGTCTGAAAAGCCTCCCGTATGAAACTCATGCCTGAAGGTCATTTCCAGGCTAGACCTACAATGTCAAGTCCAGCAGGGTCCGGATACAGCAAGGTCTAAAAGCCAGGCTGAGGACAATCACTCCAGATAGCTGCAAGTCAGAGGTGGAAACTTCCAGCAACCCCTGAGTCTTGATTAAAGAAAAAAAGTGAAGAGGAAAAAAATTGCTAAAAAAAAAAATAACAGGTTAAGTGTTCAAACAGGTTAAGTGTTCAAAATAGCAGAGCTAAAAATGATATCCATGCTCCTAGGTCACTCGTATTAAAATTGAGGCATAATAGGTGTAGGAGGGATTAAAGTGGTAGTAAAGATTTTTACCTATAGATAAGCCTATAATAAGGCTTTCCTGTAGGTAGAGTAAATATCTCCTAAACATGCACCATTTATTTACTTTCACAGCAGCCGGTAATGTCATCAGCGTATGTGCACTGGGCTCTGAATAGACTGTGCCACGGCCGTGACTCCCATGTGTATGAGTGGCATTATCATGGCTCGGCCATTCATAAGGACGAAGCCCGGGAACCTGGAAGGAAGACCGGGTACAGATGGAAGCATTGGGACCTGTGACAGCGCACCGATGGACAATTTCGTTTTCATGCAAGTCTGTGATAATGTGCTAGTATGTGATGCGATGCATACTAGCACATTATGACTTAAACCAACCGGGGGCACAATTTTTTTTTTTTTTTTTGGTACAGTTTACTACCGCTTTAACCTGGGCTGGCCTACAGTTTTTTTTGTTTGCTAGGGTCCAATTCTCTTGTAGGTGGCAATATAACCTGAATGTTAAGACTTCTTGTGTCACCTTTCATCCTATTTCTGACACATTTATATAATACATCGGGTCAGTGAGACAACCAACCCTCTATAAAGCATTCTTTACCTATTTTGTTCTCTTATATTTTCCCAGGCTTTTAAAGTACCCATTGTAATCAGTTATTTTTGTATTATGGGAGGGAAACCCACCAAACAAGAAAACATAAAAACTCCATGCAGGTAGTGTTCTTGGAAGAATGCAACTCAAGACTCCATCGCTAACAACCAAGCCATAATTCTGCTTTGATGTTATGAATTTCTTTTGCTGTCATGTCAGAACCATCGATAATATGTTTTTTTTTTGTGTCTAAGCATTTCACAGACAACAGAAAAAGACAATAAAAAAATATAGCAGTAAAAACAGAATTTACATTTTGGGTACAAGGGACACTTCTACAGCTGGCACAAGTATAAGATAACAATGTATATGCTGTAGTATCAAAATACAGGCATAGATGCAGCTGTCTTTTGCAAACAAAACCCTTCCCACTGAGAATCTGCCACATGGTTCATTTAGGCACATCTCAGTGGTATATCCATCTTTTAACCTCCGTTCTCTCTTCTAGAACAACCAGTTCCTCCTTGCTGCTGGTCTCTACCTTCCTCCCTCTCCTGACATCAGGTTGGGATCCAAATGAACTACATTAAAAGGGGTAGTTGTTACAAAAAGTAAAATTTTTAAAAGGGCAAGAAATCCAAAACTATGAGCCACGTTTACATAAAGAAGCTATTAACACCATTTATAAATATGTATGAGGTTGCATGGCTATAATAAAACGCTTGAGAAATTTGGCTGTTTATATATTAGCTATAAAGTGGAGATTATATGTGATTTAGGCATAAGGAGGCTCAGAGGCTGACTACAATATCTTTCACTGGATACCAGAAAGAAATTCTGTTTCCACAGGATATTGTTCCCCCCTTCATCAGAATTATTATTACTTTCAGTTCTTAGAAACAAAGAAAAATACCTTCAATCAGATATCAAAAGCCAAAGCATTTTTTGTAGTTTTAAGTAGAGGCAGGAATGGTTAAAACCCCAGGTTCTTCTTTGCTGGGTGTGTCCCTTTGGGAAAATTTCTCTTCATTTACTGCCCTGGAAACACACCATGTAGTGAGAGAAAAGCTCTCCAAAGTGAAGAAAAATCCTCTTAAGCTTGGTTCACATCTGTGCGGGTGGTGTCGCTGCGGATCCGCACAAAAATCCATGCAGCCGCAACACCCGCACAGAGAAATGTGGACCCGCGGACAGGTGCCATTAATTCCAATGGCAAGCCACCCGCACTAGAAATTGCAACCGTACTGGGAACCGAGGTTCCTGTGCAGGCTGCGTTTTCAGAAGCAGTGCAGGGACTTCCCTGTGTGTCCCTGGGCATGGGAGTCCATTGAAATGAATGGGCTCTCGTGCCCACGCAGACAGCAGGAACGTGGATATGTGAACCAGGGGCTAGGGCAGCTTCACTCTTCCGTAGTACAGTCCTGCTGTGCTTTGGGAAAAACTCAGCTAATCTACAGGTTTCTGTGCTTTTTCATAGACCTCTATGATGTCCCCCCGGTTTTGTTGCGGTTTCAGACAATGCACCAAAGTAGCATTCAGGAGTTTTGGTGCACTTTTAGAAACCTCTCCAAACCACAGGACCTTATAGAAGTCTATGGGAAAACACTACTAACCTTCCTGAAAACTGCAAGTTAGCTTCGTTTAGTAAAGGAGCAGTGGGGCAGTGTTATGTTGCCCTGAGACAGTTGTCAGAAAGGATGTGCCCATTACAATATTTCCTGTCTATTCCTATTCTGGTGACAACTACAAAAGTTTGGATTTCCCATAATTTTAGTACCAGAGAGGGTGAATTTGCCCAGCGGGACACAGACAGCAATAAAAAAACCTAATTGGGGTTCTGACTCTTTCCCACTCTATCCAAAACTTTTAAAAAAAAAAAGCTTTGGCATTAGGTACACTGTAGCACCTAACCATTTTTTATTTGTTTTTATAGGCCTCCTTACAATTTAGGTCCACTGCTCTATCAAAACCAGATAACACGAAAGTTTGGCACACAGCATTGCTCAATCCTTGTGTCTTTAACAAGCTGTCCATCATAGACCATGCTAAAGTGAATGTGTGGCAAAAACGCGGAATCTATGGTTATTCAGCATAATTTATGCTCCAGGCATTTCCTCGCCAAACTTGGAGTAGTAGGCTGACTGTTTTGCTGGAATCAGAACCTGCAAGAGAGAGACAAAATACAAACAAGAGAAAAGATTATAGGAAAGTTACCATCCTGCACATACTCCTCAGAAGCAGTGTTGTAATATGGGTTTCTGGCCAACAGCGGCGCCATCAGAATTTAATAAAAAGAAAAAAGGGCACCAGCCTACAAAACTTGTGATTGTATATACACTGATCAAAAAAATTAAAGGAACACTTTGAATACACATCAGATCTCAATGGGGAAAATATCATGCTTGATATCTATATTGATATGGAGTGGGTAATGTGTTAGGAATGTAAGGATGCCCCATTGTTTAATGGAAATGAACATTTACATCCTACAGAGGACTGAATTCGAAGACACCCCAAAAATCAAAGTGAAAAAATTATGCAGTAGGCTAGTCCATTTTGCTGAAATTTCATTGCAGCAACTCAAAATGGTAGTTTGTATGGCCCCCACGTGCTGGTATACATGCCTGACAATGTCGGGGCATGCTCATAATGAGATGGATGGTGTCCTGGTGTCTTTCCTCCCAGATCTGGACCAGGGCATCACTGAGCTCCTGGACAGTCTGAGGTTTAACCTGGCGGCGTCGGATGGACCGAAACATGATATCCCAGAGGTGTTCTATCGGATTTAGCTCAGGCGAGCTTGAGGGCCATTCAATGGTATCAATTCCTTCATCCTCCAGGAACTGCCTGCATACTCTTGCCAAATGAGGCTGGGCAGTGTCATGCACCAGGAGGAACCCAGGACCCACTGCACCAGCGTAGGGTCTGACAATGGGTCCAAGGATTTCATCCTGATACTTAATGGCAGTCAGGGTTCCATTGTCTAGCCTGTAGAGGTCTGTGTGTCCCTCCATGAATATGCCTTCCCAGACCATCACTGACCCACCACCAAAAACGGTCATGCTGAACAATGTTACAGGCAGCATAACGTTCTCCATGGCTTCTCCATACCCTTTCACGTCTGTCACATGTGCTCAGGGTGAACCTGCTCTCATCTGTGAAAAGCACAGGGCGCCAGTGGTGGACCTGCCAATTCTGGTGCTCAATTACAAATGCCAATCAAGCTCTATGATTCCGGGCAGTGAGCACAGGGCCCACTAGAGGATGTCGGGCCCTCAGGCCACTCTCATGAAGTCTTTTCTGAATGTTTGGTCAGAGACATTCACACCAGTGGCCTGCTGGAGGTAAATATGTAGGGCTCTGGCAGTCCTCATCCTGTTCCTGCTTTCACAAGGAGAAGATACCGGTACTGTTGATGGGCTAAGGACCTTCTATGGCCCTGTCCAGCTCTCCCAGAGTAACTGCCTGTCTCCTGGAATCTCCTCCATGCTCTTGAAACTGTTATGGGAGACACAGCAAACCTTCTGGCAATGGCACATATTCATGTGCCATCCTGGAGGAGTTGGACTGCCTGTGCAACCTCTGTAGGGTCCAGGTATCACCTCATGCTTCCTGTAGTGACACTGACCCTTGCCTAAATGCAAAACTAGTAAAAAAAACAGTCAGAAAAGATGAGTAGGGAAGAAATGTTAGTGGCCTCCACCTGTAAAACCCCTCCTGTTTTTGGGGTCGTCTCATTGTTGCCCATCTAGTGCACTTGTTGTTAATTTCATTAACAAACTGATGAACAACCCCCTCTGCTACTTAACTGACCAGATCAATATCTCAGGAGTATAATTGACTTGATGCTATACTCTGATTAAAAAGTGTTCCTTTAATTTTTTTTGAGCAATGTATTATGTCAAGAGAAATTCCCTAATTAAAACACACAGTCCATCCACAAGACCAGCCATGATTCTAGTGCCACAAAGCATTATAGAAGAAAGCAACAGCAGAAGCCTTTTGCCTTCTGACTCTCTCTCTTTATAAACAGACCAAGGGAGACAAGGAGGTGGGAAGAGTCACTCTTGGCAGATTCAGTTCTGATTGTTAATTTGAGACGGAGTTACTGAGCACTATAAAACATGCTTTTTTCAACATAGCAGCTTAAAAGAACAAGGTACACATGTGAAAAACAATTGAGCTCCATATTCTTCCTAAATATATAAATATGAAATGTCTACCTACAATGCTTAAGTTACCTGACATGTAAAGATATTTTTAAATGCTTTTTTCATCACAGCAGCTTAGAGGAACAAGGTAAACATGTGAAAAACAATTGAGCTCCACATTCTTCTTAAATATATAAATATGAACTGTGTACCTACAATGCTTAAGTTACCTGATATGTAAAGATATTTTTTTAAAAACTGCAGTTTTTAATAAACGAAATCTATAAATCAATTGTATGTTGCTTTTGGGGAATTTGTAAATGCTGGCAGTCATATCTACAATATATCTTCTTACCTCATTATGAATATAAGCGTCACAGCCATAACACCAGACAGACAGGTCAGAGAAGCTGAGTACAAGGTTGTGACCAGACGAAACTCCATGAGATACCATGTGCTGAGAGACATACCTCCCACACAGAACCTGAAAGACAGAAATGAACTATCAGTTTACAGCATGAGACATCCACCATTTAAAAGCTAAGAGGGAGACCTTCCTCACCACATAACATGTCAGGCACACCCAGTTCTCTATGTCTGTATCACAAGCAGCACACGGCTGTGTCACCTCCAGCCCACAAGGGGGCAGCTCACAGAGTGACTCCAGATGAGGACACCAGGAAAGTGGTGTCACTGCAAACATTTCCCCCTGGGAATGAGAAGTGGAAAGTGTAACAAAAGAAAACTGCTTATTGGAAATAGCCAAGTTACATAAAGCAGAAAGAAAACGTTCACCAATGTAAAATCTTCAGTAAACTTGTGCATTTTATTGCATTTGCACTGAAAGTTACTAATCAGTTCCCCACAGCTGAGTCTTATAATCAAGGCATTTTCTGATTAAGAGAGCTTACTTATGCACTGAACCACACTGTGTGCAATTGTTAGTTGATGTCTGGGAACAGGATAATAAAGACAGTCCTCTCTCAATTAGGATGCACATAGGCCGCCATTGCTATCTGCTCCTTCTGAAAAGGTTATATGCCTGGCTGTCATGCTTTGGCGTTAATACTTTCTGAATCACAGACCCCTGAAGAAGAATAAACATAAGGGGGGTTATTTACTAAAACTGGAGCATGCAAAATCTGGTGCAACTCTGCAAAGAAACCTATCAGCTTCCAAGTTAAAGGCCCCTTTCAGAGAAGATGGACCTGTCAGCGGATATGCTTGCTCAATGCGTGATCTCTCCACTGATCCCTGCTGAGCAAGTGTTGGACAAGTCTGTGTCTGCTTCGCTACTGCACAGCAAACACAGACACAGCCCGCTGTCTTCTATGGGGCTGACGGATGGAAATGGACTGCCTATCCGTTTCCAACCGACTGTCATTCAATCCGATCTGCCAGACATATGGGGAATAGGTCCCCATCTGTCTGTTTTTAGCGGACAGGATCGGATCAGATGTCAGGGGACACATGTCCACTGACACCCGCCTGTCCATAGAGGTCTATGGATGGTCCGATTGGATACGCCTTAAAAACTGAGAACTGGACCTGACCGGTCAGTGTGAAAAGGGCCTTACTGTCAATGCTGAATTGAACAAGCTGAAGCTAGAAGCTGATTGGCTACCGTGCACAGCAGCACCAGATTCTGAGTGCTACAGTTTTTGTAACTCTCCCCCAAGGAATTCTGGCTTTTCCCTGACTTTTATTTGCTACATTCTGTTTGAGGTCTATGTGCAGTCAGGCAACATGATTTGATGGAGACCGCAATAACAGACTGCATATTTCTCCAGTGATGTTTTGCAATTTAAATAAAAAAAGACTGAAAATTAGAAAAAAAAAATATTTGTTTTTAATTTTCTGCGCTAAAACATATCGAATACATTTAAAAAAAAAAAAATCTAAATTTCTTCATAAATTTTGGCCAAATATATATTCTACTACATGTGTTTGATAGAAAATTCCAAAAAGGGTATGTTGATTACTTTGCGTGAAAGTTAAAGCGAAAACGAACTACGGTGTATATACTGAATTTATATATCTATATATATATATATATATATATATATAGATATATATATATATATATATACTAATGGCGTTGATCAGCTACTTATAATGGGACTGCGATACTGTGTTGGGCAATCTGACACTGACTGACACTGGGGGGAACTAACTGCCACTGACATCACCAGTGACATTAATACAGTAATCAGTGATAATATTATACTCTGTTGCTGTGCCTAACTGTGTAATGTGCGTAAGATGTGCTGCTGTTACTAATAGGGATGAGAAACACAGAGACCATTCTCTCTCTGTACAGAGCTCTGTGTTGATTGTCACATGGTACAAGGCTATTCACAAAAGCCTTGTACCATGTGACAAGCTGTGACCAATCACAGCTCACTCTGTATTTCTCAATGAGTGCAGGAATGCACACAGAGAGAAAGAGAAATGATTGCTTTTACATCCTATATGGGTGTAAAAGCAATCAGTGTAAAAAAAAAAAAAAAATCTTTATCACCCCTCACAAGTAGTACAGTGTCACCATGGTGACACTGTACTGCTAGGGTGACAGTATGTAAAAAAAAAATAAATAAAAATAAAAAATAATAATATAAAAAAATAAAATAAAAATGTAAAAAAAAAAATGTTAAAAATTATAATTTTTGCTTATAAACTAATTTGGATTTTTTTTTTTTTTTTACTAAAAAGATAACGGAATAAATTTTGGCTAAGATTTATGATGAAATATTATTTATTTGCAAAATTTTATAAAAAAAAACACTTTTTTTTAAAAAAATTTTGGACATTTCATTTACATAGCAAAAAAAATACAAATCCCAGCGGTGAATAAATACCACCAAAATAAAGCTTTATCTATCTAAAAAAAATGGTAAAAAATTCATTTGAGTACAGTGTTGCATGACCGCGCAATTGTCATTCAAAGTGTGATAGCGCTAAAAGCTGAAAATTGCCCTGGTCAGGAAGGGGGTAAAAGTGTCCGGTCTGGAAGTGGTTAAAAAAAAAACATTTTTTAAATTTTTTTTAAAATTGTTTTTATATTATTTTTTTATTATTATTTTTTTTACATACTGTCACCCTAGCAGTACAGTGTCACCATGGTGACACTGTACTACTTGTGGGGGGTGATGAAGATTTTTTTTTTTTTTACACTGATTGCTTTTACACCCATAAAGGATGTAAAAGCAATCATTTCTCCTTCTCTCTAGCTGCATTCTTGCAGCCATTCAGAACTACTGAGTGAGCTGTGATTGGTCACAGCTTGTCACATGGTACAAGGCTGTTGTGAATAGCCTTGTACCATGTGCCCTCTGTGATTATTCACAGATTTCACACGTAGTAAGCAATGATGTCAGAAGTGACATCTTGCTTACTACTCTGCATGAGATCACTGATTGGCCAATCAGTGATCACATGATCGGGACCTCGTACAGAGGTCCCGTCCAACGATCGGTGTTCCACTGTGTCCAGAGGACACAGCGGGCACCGGATCGCGGTGCTGCGCGCTCCCAGGGACGTGCACAAGCAGCAGGGGGGGGGGGGGGGTGGCCGTTTAAAAAACGGCCACCCGACCCTGCACTGCCGACGTCCGGCCGTTTATATACAATGGCCGGACGGGCGGGGGTTAAAGGTTATAGCGGGTGCAATATTTTGTAGGCTCCAAGTAAAAAAAAACAAAATAAATGCACATTTTTTTACCTGCAAAAAGAGTTGCATTTATAATTTTTTTTACAAAGGTGAAATTATCCATAAAGAACTTATACAGAGAAACAAAGCTTTGAAAACAATATGGATGGATATGATTATTTACATCAAAGCCCAACTGAAACACATTTAGAACTTCGTGAAATGGTAATTACTGCAAGTCTTAAGGCCCATATACACTATAAGAAAATCGTACTAAACTTTTCGTATGAGGTCTGATTGTCCGATAATCTGATCATTAGTACAGAGCTTTGAAAGCTGATCACAACAATTCATGCGGCAATATCCGAAGACAAGTGCAAACATTTTTTTGTGTGATACCAGATTGTACGATTTTCGTTTAATCAGCACAGTAGTCTTTCAAAAATATAATACAATACATGACATCACTTTCAAAATTATTTTCTTTCGTAGGAGAATTTTCATAAGTTTACTACCCACTTCATTTTCTATATGGAGACTAGCATGCAAAAAAAAAACAAAAAAAAAAACCTGGATGATCATTCGTCCAATATTCTTATCGTGTGTACGGGGCTTTACCATTGCAGCGGGTGCTAAGCTGTACAGTACAGATAAGGGGGACAGACTGATTTATGGCCTCTGAATCTTTTTTAACACACAAACCAACAGTGGGACTTGCAGCAATTATCAGTCCACTACATTGAAGCGTGGGCAAAGTACTAATCCCCAGTATTTTTTGTGATCTCTCTGCAGCTGCTCTTTCCCTATCACTAATTTACAATGCCTTGCTCTGCACTCGCTATACGAAGGAAGACATCTTGGTAGAGGAAGGTTGTGTCACAGCCTCAAGCAAGAACAGTGAGCACTATAAGGCTACATTTACACTGAAACTGCTGTAGACGTTAACTCTACTGGCAGCAGAAAAATGCTAAACACGTGTGTAAACGCGGTACCCGCATTTAGCCGTGTTTAGCACTTGGACATTTATCCTTATCATTGGCTTGAGTACTTGCCATTGAAATGAATACATGCCCAAATGCTAAAAATGGCTAGCACTTAGGCATGTTTACATTACAATGAAACCAATTCAAAAGAACCCTCAAGTGATCCAGTAGCGCAAAAATTAAATAAATAAATTATATATATATCTATATATATATGTATATATATCTATATATAGATATATGTATATATATCTATATATAGATCTATATATATAGATATATATAGATATATATATATATAGATTATATGTGTATATATATATATATATATATATATATGATATAGATTATAGATATGTGTGTATAGATAGATAGATAGATAGATAGATAGATAATAGTAAATAGGTGATCACTCAGCATTTGTGAAAATGAAAAAAAGTCCATAAAAGTCTCTTCCACCAAACAATTCTCCTAATTCCCAAAAATAAATCACCACGTGCTCATAAAAATGGCGTTCCCCCTTTCGAGTATGCACTCATCGAATAACCATGCCTCCCATTCTCATGGTTGGCTGGAATCTCTTATTTTGTTAATCCAAGTGGGAAGGAAGTCGATCAGTATCAATATTGTTTCACTCCTCTCTGTTTATCCTCAAATCTCCATGCCTCTCATTCCCATGATCAGCTCACACCACTTCACAAATTAACAGATTCCTAATGATCGAGAGCTATGCCATTATAGATAACACTCTCCTTCTCCTGAATCTTAGTCAGCTCTTATGTATCTGTCTTCAAGTGAAGTGGTGTGAGCTGATCATGGGAATGAGAGGCATGGAGATTTGAGGATAAACAGAGAGGAGTGAAACAATATTGATACTGGTCGACTTCCCTCCCACCTGGATTAATAAAATAAGCGATTCCAGCCAACCATGAGAATGGGATGCATGGTTATTCGGTGAGTGCATACCTGAAAGGGGGAACGCCATCTTTATGAGCACGTGGTGATTTCTTTTTGGGAATTAGAATTGTTTGGTGGAAGAGACTTTTATGGACTTTTTCATTTTCACTTATGTTGAGTGATAACCTATTTATTTATTTACATATATATATATATTATATATATTTGATAGATAGATATAGAGAGAGATATATTTAGACATAGATATATATATATATGTATAGTTAGATAGATAGATAAAATAGATAGATAGATAGATAGATAGATAGATAGAAGATAGATAGATTTTTTTTTTTGTTTGTGCTACTGAATCACTTGAGGGTTCTTTTGAATTGGTTTAATTGAATTTGTATGAATTGGCAGCATTGTTTTTTGTATTATATTTAATTTATTTGCATTGTTTAATTTTTATTGGTTATCATGCATCTAGCGCAAAAGGTTTTTGTTTTCATGTTTACATCACAATTAGCATTTTTTGGCCAAAACTTTCCTCTGCCGAACACAATTCTTCTGCATTCAGGAGAGGGACGTTTAACTGACCCCTAAAATCTGCTGCTGCTAATATCTGATAAAAGCCTACGTGTGCATGGACGCATAGGCTTTTCCTGAGTTGAGTTCAGGGGGGAAAAAAATGCCAAAAGCTCCTAAACTCACGTATAGAAGCAGCAGTGTACACGAGGCCTAATAGTGGCATCACCAAATCTCCTCAGACTAGCAGTGAGAGGCAGAATGCCTTAGGTCTCACGCTGCAGATATACAGCTATGAGCTTGTAGGTACAAGGTACAAAAGTGCCTAGGCACCTTCACAAACTAGGAAGTGCGCTTTTATATTTCAGGAGGAAATATTTCAAGGTACTGCTTAGGCTCAATTAATTTTACTGGATGTTACCTAAGCAACTCTTCACTTTTTTAATTTTAATCTATGTTAAGCAACTATATCCAGTAGGTTTAATGAAGGAAGCACAGTGGGTTTTTAGAAAGTGAAAGTGTGATAGCTGCACTTTTGATTTCACACTCTAGAAGAGCTAAACTGGTGATCCAAAAATTCATCCACGTGTGGTGGACTTCCTGCACCCTTTTCTAGTTGGCGTAATACAGAAACCACACCCCCAAACCATGAAACCAGTTTGTGAACTTGTAGGCCTCACGCACACCAGTAGTGTTAGCTATATAAAGTCGTGTTAAAAATAAAAGTGTTTTAGCATGAGCGTTTTAGCCGTGTTTTCCAGCATTAGAGCATTGTTACAGCTAAAAAAAAACTCCTATTGAAATCCACTAGTTATGGGGGTTTTTTTCCAGCCAGAAAACGCCCCTGCCAAAAAGTTACAATCATCCAGAAACTGGCATAATTTGGCTGGATTTGTTAGAACAGGTGCAATAAGGGTAGGTTTAGATGTGTGTCTAAATCTTGCTTTGCTTTCCTCTGGAGCCCATTGGGATCACGTTTCAGAGGCTATTGACAGGCGATGTGAGGCCTCCTCAGCACACTGTTTTAACCCTATTTTTTTTTTTTTTTTTACTAAAAATGCACCGCAACCACGTGCATTGCTTGCTGTTGTGGGCCGTTTGCAGTGCTCCCCCATTAGTGTGTAACATTCACCAGGCTTGTCACCAGCCAATCTCAAGACATCGGATAAAACTTTGCTGCAGGCGCGAAGCATCGCAACTGTGGCATGTAAGCACCCTAGTCCACTGCCCATTGCAGCTCAAGGGGGGGTAGTTGGCAGGCAGCAAAAATGTGAATTTTTTTTCACCCCCCAACCTTGCATCCAAATGAAGCCTAAAAGTGTCAAAATTTACAGAGTATTCCACAGACTCCACATCTAGCTGGTGACATGAAACTGGGCAGCCACCAGCAGCTTCCGAGAGTAGGTTCTCCTGCAGATTAGTATCTTGAGACTACAAAAACAGAGAAGAAAAAGAAAAATGAGGTGTGAGTGCAGGGGTGAGAGAGGAAGGGAGTAAGCAGAAAAGTAAAAGAGATGAGGGAGTGAGTGAGGGGAGGAATGAAAGAGAAAGGGAAGGAGAGAGAGAGAATAGGGATGAGTAAGAGGAGGAATGAGAGAGGGGAGTGAGTGAAGAGAGGAGTGAGAGACAGAGTGAATGAGGGAAGGTGTGAGTGGAGGAGGAGTGAGAGGACGGGAGGAGAAAGAGAGAAAAGGAATGAGTGAGGAAAGGCGTGAGTGAGAGGTGGCGTATGGAAGAGGAAAGGGGGAAGGAGAAGCCAGAAAAAAGAAGATAAAAAGAGAGGAAAAAATGAGGGAAAAAAAGAGTGAGACAGAGGATCAGGAAGATAGAAAAAGAGTGAGAAATGATAAAGAAGAGAGAGAGAAAAGGGTGAAAAAAGAAACAGTGGAAAAAAGAATACACAAGACAACAGCTGTGTTCAGTTCCAACACTCACAGAGGCTTCTTCTGAACTATTAGCCACTTGCTGTACTACAGCAAATATCTTCTTTCTCGCCCCACCAGCAGGTTCACTGTCACTAATACTTGCGGCTGATGTGTTTTTACTATCATCCAGTTTCAAGTCTCTAAGCAGTTCCTCCACAGAGCTTTCAGGCCGGTCATCAGACATCAAAATATCTTGCGTTGTTTCTAAAACCTGTATTTCAATGACTGTCCCCAGTGACTCGCCTTCATTAGAACCTATGTGCACTGAATCTTGGCCAAGAGCCTCCACCTCAACCGTCAACTCTTCTTTAGTCTCTACTTCAGCTAAGTTAGCTAAGAGAGGATTGAAGACTTCATCCTTATTATTTGAGGTCTCTTTGAGTTTGTGTTTAGCTATTTCAGTACTGTCTGATTTTTGAGGTGAAGGCTCCACAACACTACCCAAGGTCTGACTGTTCTCCACGATGGTGTTTCCATACTTTCTTCTGTAGAATAGGTTACAGAAAAATTGTCTATGCTGGAGACACTGTCATTGGACTCATTCCTGAAGGCTACAGGCGGCGAACCTTTCACCTCCACAATTTCAGACCTGGGGTTCAGAATATCATCATCAGCTTTGAAACCAGTCAAATCTAATTTCTGGGGACTCTGTGTTTCTTCAATATTCCTTCCAGGGGAAGGGGTCTTGAGTTGTGGGGAGGATGAAGACTCAACCGTAGGTACGACTTTGCTTGGATGTTCCTTCTGTGGTGTCCAACGCACCTTCTTTGATACCTCTGAGGGTGGAGGTGGCTCAACTGTTTGGAGAAATGGCAAATATAAGTAAATACCTTTTCCATGGTTTGAAGACACAATTTAGAGATTCTAGCAATCCCATCACTAACTAACCCCTAAGAGTTCCTAAAATCACAAGGTCTCAAAGGGAACTCTCTACTTGCATTTGCCACACACTAAGCTAGGTAATAATCCACTGGCTGTTAAAGCCCGACTCCATAAAAAACAAAAAAAAAAAAAAGTTGCAGTGGGGCCCCCCCCCCCCCCACACCGTAAAGGATTAATTGCTTGCTATATATAAGGGATTTCAGAACAGGTGATTCACTTACCTTATACCCCACTTATGCGCTCACCTCCTCCATCTGTAGCTCCAGTCTGTGGGCAGAGCCTTAGTGTCACACATAATACAGGGCATTACCCCTGTATTTAACATTTTGGAGGGTGGAGTGTGACCAGTGGTGGTTGCAGTTTCCACAGTACATTAGGGGGAACCTGCCGCAGCACTGGGGAGACCCTTCTGTAGCAAAGAATAAGGTATTTTATCCTTAATCCTCAGCCCCCAGATATAATAAGCAATTAATCCTTACAGTACATGGGGGAGGGGGCCCACTGCAAGGGTGGATTTTTTTTTTTACTTTCATGGAGTTGGGCTTTATAGCTAAATGGCAAAACCTTATGTTGTCTATGTCTACAGAGTACTTGGATGACATTTGCTCCCCTATATGTTAGTATCGCCTGTGGTTAACAACAGGCTAATTAAATTATTTACTATTCATACAACCTACTTATCCCGTTTAATGCATAAACTGGGATTCATGGCCACCTACCATTGCATGCAATGTACTCAACCCAAAGCAGATTTTATGCACCTGATCTGTGGTTGTTGGGTGATATCTGAGTTTTGGAAGTAGGTAGTCACACTTCTTATTAATCTACTGCAATACCCTCTCCACTGCACACCTTTTTGCTTTTTGATATACTAGATGAAGAGTGTTTGTCCCATTACACTAAAATATTTTTCAGAGAACCACTGTTTATGGCCTGTAAAGCCATTGCTATTAAATGGATGAGTCTATTTCTCCCATCGTATCTCACTGGAAACTATTAATTAATCAGATCATCCCATATGAAAAAAAAGTTATGTATGGGAAGAAAAACTGTTCCCCTAAATTTCATAAAATTTATGACCTATGTGTAACTCTGCTCTTACGCTAAGCTTGAGATGACCTATGCTGGTCCAAACGCTGCAACTACCATTGCTAATGTATGTTTATCGCTGTATTATGCCACACAACACATATATGCAACAATAACTCACGTGAAACCAGTTGTTTTTTAATATGCTTTATATCTGTTCCAGATGATTCTGCATACTGATTATTATTTTTCTATTTTCCTGTATCTCTATATCTGGGTACAACTGTTTTTAGTTAAAAAAAAAAAATTAACATAATATATAAAACTGCTATTGAAAGCATTTTCCAAAGCATTTTCTCACCTTTCAACCTGAGGCTGAGCCAGTATTTGTGATGGACACTTAGGACATTGGAGATTGTACGCAGTGCTGATGGACGGGGAGGATGCAAGTCAGACAAGTGAGGAAGGGGATCTCCGAGAAGTGTCCGAGTACACATAGACATGGATTCTGAGATGGAGGTCAGATTATAGCCACCCTGATTTGAGACAAATGGAAATGATTTTAGAGTATATAGATTTTGTTGTCAGCAAATCTGTTAGATTATTAGTCACACAGATCGTAGACAAAAGCTGATAATGATTGGTAGCTGTGAAAGGATAAGACGCTGCACACCACTAGCTCAACAGGTGAATAGAAATATGAATGGCCTCAGCCTTGAGCTCCTCCTGAGCCACGTCCCTGATGCATTTCGTTCTCTATGATTAGACCTGGAAGGGGCCTAATCCATCAGAGATGGGGCTCAGCAGGAACTCAAGGCAGAGGCCGTTCATATTTCTTTTCACCTGTTGAGCTAGTGGTGTGCCGCGTCTCTCATCCTCTCATACTTCCCGCATTAAGCATAAGACAGCTTACACCCTTACATTTCCATTGCTGTGAGACACCAGAACTACCAGAGCACATTGAGCATCGCTATATGTGGAATATGGTAGTTTCCAAACATTGGTTTTTATTTTGAGCATACATACATATAAATTATCAGAAACCTAAAGGTAAGAAATAAAACACTTGCCTCCAGAACGACCACTACTTTGCCACCTGCCAGACCCATCAGGAGGTGTGTCATGTGAGCGTAGCCTTCCGGAGAGACACGGCAGCCTCCAAGTGGGTCTCCACGAGCAGCGTCAAAACCAGCAGATATCAAAACCAGCTGCGGATTAAACTGCAGGAGAGGGAGCTGAGTGTAGCAGTCTGTCAGTGTGCATTGCAATCCTTTTGTAATGACCATTGTTCTGGTTAGCTGATAATGCACTACTATGTTACAGCTCTTAAAGTTATCCTGATACTCCTTATATTTCTCCCATCATTTTACTAATTCAGTCCTATCCTTCAAAATTGTCCTATTTTTACTGCTGCTTCTATCATCTTTTTCAATCCTCCCTCTACATTCTGCTCTATCCCTGACCTTACCTGTCCACCTTCTGACGATAACTCACATTTTGATACATATGCCCCTACCTATCCACATTCTATTCTGCTTGATCGTATCTCTCATTCTTCATTTCCTTAATCCACACTTTCTCCCAAATATCCTAACTCCTCACTCTGCCCTCGCCTTTACCCCACATTCTTCCCTCGCCGCCTTTACCCGACACTCTGCCCTCGCCGCCTTTACCCGACACTCTGCCCTCGCTGCCTTTACCCCACACTCTGCCCTCGCCGCCTTTACCCCACACTCTGCCCTCGCCGCCTTTACCCCACACTCTGCCCTCGACGCCTTTACCCCACACTCTGCACTCGCCGCCTTTACCCCACACTCTGCCCTCGCTGCCTTTACCCCACACTCTGCCCTCGCCGCCTTTAGCTGACACTCTGCCCTCATCGCCTTTAGCTGACACTCTGCCCTCCAGGTCTTTATCTAATGCTATATTTCCTTTTCCTATTCTCCACTCCCCAATTCTGTACTTCCTACACCTTGCCCTCACTCGGTCCTCTCCTCTCTTATCTCATGAACACCTTACCGTTCTGCATTCATTTTGCCAATCTGAATGTCCCTTGCTCCCCACTTTGCCCCTAGCTTCTCTATCTTTGGCTGTCCTTCACTTCCCTGCCCTTTTCTTCCCATTTAAATCTCTTACCTCATAAGCAATGGGCATTACAATCCTATGAAAGGCCAGTATGTACTCTGTATCACCCATCTTGCCACCATTCCACGGGATGTTCACATTGAACCCTTCTCCACGACCGATGCCAACTTTGTCATGTGCAGCATCCTCAGAAGATGGGAAAAAGGAGCCATCATCATATCGATGGATGGACACATACAGCACGCTAGTAAGGGACACATGAGGTCAAATGCAAGAAGGGGTACATCTGAATATTTTTATGAATAAAAACCATCAAAGCCTTGGCATACTAACCTATCATCCTCCTGGAAAATGTGTTGTGTTCCATTGCCATGGTGGATGTCCCAGTCCAGAATCATTACCCTATGAGTGCAAAAGAAAAATGAAAGACACACAAGGATAACTGCCAAGCAGAACACTGCATTCCATTGTACCTTAATCGCGGTTCTGACGGGTTTTCAAGGCTCTGGGCATATCGTGCAGCAAGGGCAACACTGTTGAAGAAGCAGAAACCACAAGCAGCACCTGGCTCTGCATGGTGACCTGGTGGGCGAACGATACAGACTCCATTTTGAACCTGGATTTAAAGAAGCCATTAAATTTAGAATGATGTAAACCCTATCTGTAATGCTGTTTTCTAAAACACTGTCTATTTTAACCCTGGATTTTTTAACCACTTCCTGTCCAGCCCATGTACATAAACGGACGGACGGGAGCACTGCCGGAGCGGGTGGACGTTTCTAAACGTCCCCCGCATCAACTGCCTGTGCACGCTCCCTGGGAGCGTGCGGCACCCCTGTGTGAGGTCCCGATTCATGTGATCGCTGATTGGCCAATCAGCGTTCACATGAATAGTAGTAAACAAGATGTCACTTCCTGACATCATTGCTTACTACGCGTGAAATCTGTGAAGG